CACCCAAGCTTACCTCATGTGCCCCTGTACAGTTAAGCTGTAAAAATGATTTGCACAATGTGTCAGATGTGCAGCCCTAAAGCATTTTAAGCCACAGTAAGATTAAATGTTACAGTATAAGCACAGCATCAAGGGCTGCCTCCTTTTCCAGACAGCTGTATTAGCTCTGTATCCGTGCTTGCTGACGCAACAAAATAAGAACCAAACTGACAAGCTGAGAGCTTGGATGAAAAGCAGTGCCTTCATTGTTGTTTCTTTGATTATGACTTTATTTCCTTCATCCACAAAGTACAAAAAGAGAGCTACACAGTTTAAGGCTGTAACTTAAACAATCAGGGTTTTTTTTTTTTTTTCGTTCAGAGGCGTGCACTTTCCAAGTACTCTGGTACTATTACCAATGTATTCAAGGAAGTTTGCATGTTAACACTGATACACTATTCATGAATAGAAATTACTTCCAAATAATACTTGCACTTTGGTTTGCTTATAATTGTTTGAAAACCTAACCGTAAGGGGTGACGTGGCCTGGAGGGACATATTTGTCTTTGCTTCAAGTGTCTACTCCTCTCCAGATGTTGCTTGTGAATTGTTTCCAAAAGCACAAATATTTCCAGCAGATAGTCACAACACAATATCTATACTGTCAGTTTCTGCTTGGGTTAATTGGTAAAACACTGCCAAAAAAAAATTAGAGAAGCAAAACCATAGGGCAAGAATGTCCCTGCTCTCAGTAATGCATTTTCCGAAAATATATTGCAGGTCAATGGCAAGCAAGGGCAGAATGGAAAATTTTGTGGTCGTCAGTGGCAATGCAGTATGTTTATACTGTTTTATACTTTCAAAAAAGTGCTCTCTCTTTGTTTGCCATTTATTTTAAAGCCCTGCAGAATCCAGAAGTTCCATCATTTTGTGGATTGAAGAATATCTGTTAGTAAAAACCTACTCAGATTACTTGCTTCCACTCGCAGACTCTTTCCATTTGAAATTTAAAGCATATGAACCAGCGAGCAAAATTCTTTGCTTTGAATAATAAAAATAATCGTAGAGGACTACAGTTCATTTTACTATTGCAGTTCAAAATAGTCTTTCAGTAAAGCGAAAAGAAGCATAAAAAACTGCGAAGTAACTAAGGTAAAAGATGATTGATTATTTCTCATGACTTCAATAAACTCTTATGTAAAAGTGAGTAAGGACTTTTCCATACGCGACCCCTACAGCTTTTATGCTACTGGCTCAGAAACTGGAGGGCAGCTTTGGATTTTACCAACTCATGTTGCTTGGGCTTTCTGGATGGACAGCTCACTTCTCTTCTTTCTTTTGCTCATTTTTTTCAATCCTTTTTTCCTGGCCATTCATTAAAACTGCTCATACTCATATATTCCTATTGAGAAACATCAGAATTGCACCGTAGCTTCATGGTGGGTGACTTAAAGGTAACCTAGAATGGTTGTTCAGTGAAGTGACATATGCACCACAAAATTTTGGTTTGGTCTGTAATGCCTCAGAAGCTTCCTAAAAACCTCTCTCAAAAAGTGGGGGATTTTGAACGCGTTGTTTTGCACCTATTTGGCGACCTTTTGGGCTTGACTGGCAACCTCATTATGAAATGCAAGCACTTGACGCTGATTGGCTGGCTTTGCTGCCTAAAGCGAAGTAAGTCATAATCGCTTTCCATGTTACTTGCGGTGAAATTCACCTTTACGCAAGTGAAACTGAAAATTCAAGGCACAAGGATTTTAATTCCGCGTGAGAATCTCATTAATAAGCATTCATTGAATAATTGCGGACTACGGCGAATAATCCTAAAAAATGCGCTAGACCCACATGTTTTGGTGTTGACGCACCAGGCGAAACAGCCTCAAAAACTAAAGGCGCAGATGCCGACCTCCCACCGTCTTAATGTGAGCATGGCAGGATCATTGGCAACAACAATCTTCACGGATTTATTTCAGATCTCGTTTCAAAGCTGTTGTTGAGTGATAATCACGTCATACGACATTGGCTAGACCAGTGTTTCCCAAACTGTGCCGTGGCGAGAAAACCCACTTACTGTTTTTTTCCTGATAGCCTAATAATATAAAACGGCTGAACTTACAGGATATAAAAATAACAATTCATGTCATTATCAATTCATTCAATTCAGTTTATTATAATGCCTATTTAAAATTCCTTCTCGATATTTCCGCATCATGTATTCTACTGTACAATTCCTTCACGTGATTGGCCAATCACACATCGTCTAACGCGAAAAATTAAACATTCCCCGGTAAAACTCAGCCAAAACAGCAGTGTTGGCTAGTTGAAACGAAACAACGAAAATGGATAAATTACTGAACAAAACCTCGAAAAGGCCGTCCGTCTAAGACCCTGAACCACCTCACTCTTGCTGCGCTGGCCAGAAAAAGAAAATCAAAGTGGTGAGCAGACTTTACAGTGAGGAATATCTAACTTATGGGTTTACATTCACCGGAGATCCCGCTAACCCCAATACTTCTGTGTCTTGCTTGCGGCGAAAAGCTGGCGAACGAAGCTATGGTGCCAAATAAATTAAAAAGCCACCTTTCAACCAAACACCCTTCTCTCTCTCTCAAAAAAAAAAAAAACCGTGAATATTTAATGCGGTTGAGAAGCCAGACGAGCAAACAAGCTAGTTTCATGATGAAAACCGCTACAGTGTCAGGAAAAGCATTAAAAGCCAGCTATCTGGTCCCAGAACTAGTAGTAAAATCAAAGACGCCGAATCTCTTATCCTGCGAGCATGCAAAGCTATCGTCGGGACCATGTTGGGTCAAAATGCTGCCAATGAAATATCCAAGGTTCCTCTCTCAAACAATACAATTGGCAGACGAATAGGAGAAATGTCGGCAGATATGGAGGACGTTGTAATGAAGAAAATAAAAGGGAGTGGGAAATTTGCGCTGCAGGTGGATGAAACAACCGATGTCAGTGGACATGCACAATTACTGGCCAATGTCAGCTATGTCGATGGGGAGACAAAAAAAATTACTTTTTTATCGAATTTTGCCGGAGAAAACTACAGGTGAGGAAGTGTTTCGAGTGACATCCGAGTATCTGGAGAAGTGGGGGCTGAACTGGAAAGACTGCGTAGAGTCATTTATTTTATGATTGCATGAAAGCCTGAAACCTGGTTGGAAAGTTTGAGTGGTTGTCTCATCACTCAGTCGAGCTGCGGGGTAGGTAGCGTGAGCGGAACGCTATAATATCATAGCGGTGTGCCGTGAGATTTTTTCATGGTAAACAGTGTGCCGCGAGAGAAAAAAAGTTTGGGAAACACTAGGCTAGACAAGCAAAACGAATATATTCTATTTTTAATGTTTTAAAAACAATCTAACAACAACGTGATACTTACAGTTTGTACTGGTTGTTGAGGTAGACGCAAAGTCGGAACTGCTCCGCTACGTAGCACCAAACGCTGCGAGAAGCCGGCTTGAAATTGTGCCAGGTTAGTAAAACTGTCAGAGGTGAAATGGGCTGAGCAAAGTAACAGTCTGTGGTTGAATGTAGTGGGAATCCGATTAAAAATGAACAGCAGCCACGCATCTCGTGCATTTCTTTCGGTTGGAAGGTTATGGAACGTTTGCACACTGCTTCCACAGCCTGGAAGAGCACACCTCAGTACGCGACTCACCATTTCGCCTTGAACTTCACGAACACTACTGCAGGGAGAGCGGGTGCATGCAAATTATTTTGAAGGGGAGGAAATGGAATGAGGGGGGGTGCAGTGAGATACATATGACATCATATGTATGCTTTGTTCAGATTGGCCCGTTTTCTGGCGGTCATTTTTAAAAGGGGAATTTCTATGAAACAGAGATGTTCAGAATGTCTAGCACTTTTCGTATGTTCTTGAATGTGGGTAGACTATCGTTATTCAACATAGACAAGGTAAAAACGGTTTTTGATTCTATGTCACCTTAAAGTTTGTCATTGTCAAGTTTGTTTTTCACCTTTTTCATCTCTACTTGTTCAGCTCCATGGATTTATGCTCATTCTCGAGAATCCTTGTCTTCTCACAATTGAGTGGCCAGAGCTTACCCAAACGATGGATGTTGATTTTTCTGTAGCCCCATCACCCCTTTATTTTTTCATCACCCCATCCTCCATTAAACACCATTTACTTATTTACTCTTCAAACTTTCCAAGCTAGAGCCTTCAGACTTGCTTCAGACTTTAGACCTTTCCAAAGGATGTATGTATGCTTGTTATATGCAGTCTTTGTTGACGAATGTAGGCAATGACCAAAGTTAACTTGTATCACTTGAGATAACTGGATGTGATTAACTGTGTGCCATTTGCTAATGTTACTCCCCTGGTGGCTGATTGAAGGCTGTGATTTTCATGTTAACATGCACAGTACACCGATCCAACCCGTCAATCAAATCCTAGACTACAGCCAATGAGGTGGCCCAGCCCAGTCACATGACAAGTTTACAAAGCTGACCGCCATTGTCTCAACCAAAAAAAACCTTGCCTGAGTTTGGCCAAACACGCACCCAACCATAATCGTGTTAAATTCATTGCGTTTTACATGGATTGTTTTATGATATTGCGATCATAACTGCCATGCCTAGAAAGGACTGCTGTTTTGGATACACAGTGTGTATCAGGCCAACCACATCTGAACAAGTACCACTCATTCTGATGTGACAGTTGATGGGTCCTGTCACTAGAAATGTCTCCCAAAAAGTACGCACCCTGGCCACCTTGCCAGCAAACCTGGCTCTTTGGCGATGTGGTCAGCGCGTGTGACTCTTACCCGGGAGTCTGGGGTTCAATCCCTGCCGGGGCCCTCCTTTGGCCTGCCGCATTCTGGTGTAATCGGCAGGATTCAGTGAATCCCAATGGATGGCAGCATGCATAAAGCATGGAGTATGAGGACACACTCCCGAAAGAGGGAGAGAGATGTGACAGTTGATGAGTCCTGTCACTAGAAATGCCTCCTAATAAGTACACGCCCTGGCTACCTTGCCAACGAGCCTGGCTCTTTGGCGATGTGGTCAGCGTGCGCGGGCTCTTACCTGGGAGTTTGGGGTTCAATTCCCCGCCTAGGGCCCTCCTTCAGCCTGCCACACAATAAAACATAAAGATACATGCATAAACATGTCATATATATGTATATTTAAACCTTTGAATTTTCAGGAACTTGTATGGAAGTGAGCAGGTGTGTTTTTTTTTTTTTTTAAATTTAGGAATTAAGAACTAATGAAGGGCAAATACTGGAATATCAACTGCTACCCATTATGACAAGTTTCCATAATCACCTTTCCTTTGTTTCAATTGCTAGCTCTCTTGTTGATGCCATGTTTCCTCTCAGTTACAGAAGTCCAACAGCTCATCAACTTGTTAGAGGTGTGTTTCATGAAGACAGAATGTCCAGCTCTTGAAATTGTTTTGTGTCATACTTGCGACTGTTTCATTTGCTAAAAAATAAGGAAAAAAGTTGGATGAACATCCTCTCAGAGTGGTGATTCTGTAATTTTTGCCAGAGGCTGTACTTAGTGCAAAAGCTAGAAATTGTCCACGGATTCCTTTGAACTCAAAGATCAAAACCCTTTGTTTTAACCTCCAGCTGCATTGTGGACATCACCCCTTTGATTATGAACTGCTCATGTTTCACATTTAAATATGAGTTTGATTCCGTTTCCGAGGCATGCATTCCTGGGTGCTTTGGGTTCAGTGTTTACATATATTGCAGCAAACAATGTTTGCTAAAAATTGTCCAGATCTCTCCCAACATTAATTTCTACTTTATTTTTCAGTTTTTATGTCTTGTACTCATGGACATGTTTCTGAAGGTTTGTAAGGGTGAGTAACACATGTTAAGTTTGGATGAGAACTATATTATTCTGCAGTTACCAGAAATGTTCGGGACTGAGTTCCTTTAAACCACCTTTTTCTTTTTTCCCAAATCTCTGCAAAAAAAAAAAAAAACCCTCTGGTCTTGAAATAATACATAATAAGTCTTCTGATTGCTTGTTTTTCCTCAGTGGGCTAAGGAAGCATAACTGTAATGCCAGACTGAAATACAACCACCTCAGAGTACAGCAGTCAAGGAAACCAACACTGAATTCATTGCAAAGTTTTGTTGCATAATTGTCAGTGCTGAATTACCAGTGTACCTAACTACATTGCACTGGTTTGATGTTTTTTTCAAATACATTGAACCACAGCCCTAGGGGTGTTAATCAGAAAATAGTTAATAAATTAATTCATTGGGATCAAATCATGAGATGCTCGTCTCTCAGTGACAGTGTCAGTGGAATTATACATCTTTCTGTTTTTTTCTCTGTAAAAAATAGATGGTTGAGAGCATGGTCTGAAAGGACTGAATAAGATGATGGAAGCTCAATTTATTGATAAAAAACTATTCATGCCTCACCAAAGCCAAAACTGCTTTTATTATCTCTTTTTATTATTATTTATTTATTCTTTTTATTAGCCAACGAGGTTGTGTTTTTACCCATGTTTTTCTGTTTGTCTGTCTGTTGCCAGGATAACTCAAAAAGTTATGAATGAATCGGCATGAAATTTGGAAGGATGGTAGGTGATAGTCCAAGGATAAGTGGATTCAATGTGATCCGGAACATATTCTGGATTCTACCGAAAGAAGTTAAATATACCTGAATAGAATGATTGTCCCTTACATAATGAACAGATTTTCATAAAATCTCAGCATTAAATAGAATGTGCACTAATGTAGAATTGATTGTAGTTGCTGGTGATTAGGCTAATGTTTTTGTGGATCCTGAACCAATAATATTGACATATGGTGTGGTGAAGGTATAAGTTCTAACAAGTTCCCCTCTAGTTGTTAATGAAACAGTCAAAGAGAGAGAGAAAAACTTTATTTTGCAGAAATCAGCTGTGATTATGAGCATATTTCATTTCTTTCAAGCATGTACCATAATTGACTGCTTAATGCATTGTCCTGTGATTTTTGCAAAACTTGCTTTTCCATTTATCATGTCTAGTAATAGCGCATAAAACGTTTTGGTGAAATAACCCCCACATGCAAGTCTGAAGGAAGAATGAGAATTTGGCGAAAGAGAATGTGCGTGAGTAACTGCACAGCCATTTAGGTTGGAGCTATTTTCAAATGAATTTATTCCTTTTAAATGGGTGTGAAATTATCCCAGTGAAGAATAATATAACCTCAGTTCAGCAGCAGAGCTGGTCCAGGGGTAAAACTGAGGCTAAATGCAGGTACGCCAATAACTTTTCAGTAATGCAGGCCATTACTCAAGTGTAATAATTACCAAAGCTTGGAGCCATTATTCAAATGCTGTTTAATTACTCTCCAGTGCCTCAGGTCTTGAGTCTTTCATTGCATGGGTCCAAGGGCCATAGATTTGTAAATGCAAGAGAGCAACAGTTTAATTTCACAGCTGTGTGGTGATATCTTTGTCCCAATTACGTCTTAAGATGATTGTGATAAGGAGGCTGCCACAGCTCTCCCAAGCAGATGAGCTGAAGCTCCAGAGTCTCACATCTTGAAGTCATGAAAGCAACATCCAGCATATGTACTCTCTTCCCCCCTTCTCCCTCTCCCTTGTTTACTCTTTGTCCCTTCATCTCCCTCTACCTCATATAGTTTGTTAGAATAATTTATGAGATGCTTTCAGTCATCTGTGTGAAACTAAATATGTGGATAAACAAGCAGATATTCTATTTATAGGTTCAGTATTGACTTACCGTATTTTCTGGACTACAAGTTGCACCAGGATAGTCCCACATAGCGAAAAACACGTTGTTCAGGGGGACAAAAAACATAATTAAAAGGCTTTGATGTACCAGTTGTTTTTATTTATTTATTTTTTTTCCCTTCAAATTAAATGGAGGCCAAGTGCATTTTAATTCACCAGGAACAGAATAAAAAGTAGCTTCTACAACGTCGTTTGGACTAAGGCATATCCAACAAGCCGCATTGATTGATATTTAATTTTTTCCCTATCATATCAAAAATAAACAACACAATAAAATAATAAACACAGTAAGAAAAGCAAAGACAAAACAGAACTAAACAGGCCTTAAAGGCCTTTACACGCCAATGCGTAACGAATAAACGACAAGAAAATACGAAATGTTCGGATGCGAAATGTTTGGATCAAAACTCTTCACACCGGCTCCAACACGAATTTGCGACAGAAACTCGGGAAAACGAATTTACGAAGTTTTGACAGCTCACTCCGAAGTAGAAAAAGAGGGCAGAGGAAGAAGAGGAAAAATGGACTCATCCCTCAGTGATGAAGATCTTTTCCTCATCGCTCTTTCTAAGAAAAAAGGGGGTTTTGGGTTCACCCTCTGCTACAAAGCAGGGATAGAGAAGGAAAGTTTTACCTCCTAAAAAAGGCATTTTCTTTCGCAGATAAATGACGGTGTAAAATATCAATATATCTGTAATTTCTGTGCTCGTGAAACTGCACAGATTTGCGTAAATTGGTTTGCAAGGCTCATTAAAGTAACTCTATTACCGGGTACTTTGACACTAATTCCATAGTTCTGTACTTGTAAACTATGTCTGTGCCAAAAATTCCCATGAAAATACACACAGTAATAATTTTAGGCTTGTTTTCTGATGGCAGACCTTGATTTTCAGCCAGTTTCTGCCCCGCCCACAATTAGGTCCAAAATTTGCTGGATTGACACATTGACCTGCTGACGTCATCTAAAGAACGAGACGAGCTCAGTCGAGCTCATTTTTCTATACTGCCTATGGGACAGGAACTGCAGAAGGTTTATAAAATCGTTATTTTCTCGTGAAATTTCGGGAAACGGTAGAGCAAATGCCTACCAGATGCATTGTAGCAGGTTGTAGTAACGTATCCAAAGAAGGAGTCAGCCTTCATTGATTTCCAAAAGATTAAAAAATAAGTAAAATTTGGGCGTCTCTAGTGAAACTGACTCGGGCAAAATGGCAAGGACCAAGCGACAATAGTGTGATTTGTAGCGACCACTTCAATGATTCCGACTTCGAGGATGAAGGGTTTTGGTCTGAGTTCGCGATGAAAAAGATGAGAAAAATCAAGCCAGACGCTATCCCGAAAATCAAAAGTCCATTCAAGGAGAGAAGCACCGAGGAAACGGGGAGAAAGAATAGCAGACTGGGCACCGAAAAACAGAAGAAAATGAAGGTAGGCCGCTAATGAACAATTATAACGCATTAGCTACGCCAACGCTTCAGCAGGGCTTTTGTTATAGACACTATAGAACTTAATAGAGCGCTGGCTGCGGCTAGCACTTAGCAGGCTTTGGCTTGCATTCCACGTGTTTTTTTTTTAATTTTTTTTTATTTTATAAATTTGGCATCTCTAATCCCACCCGAATCTGGAATGCCCAATTGGTGAACTATGTACAAGGCTTGCTCGTATGCGACCCCTTGCTGCCAATTCAGGAGAGTGTAGACAGTTCGCGGCTCTCCTCCGAAGCACGCGCCTGTCAACCACCGCTTCTTATACACTCATTGGTTGAATCTTCGCAAGTTCAGAACGAGGGCGGAGGATTCCCGGACATGACCAGGCTTAGAATCTTCCTGACGAGCGCCCGTCTGGCCAACAGGAGGCGCTTGAGCAACGAACAAGGAAACTATTGTAATCCCTACCCGGCAGTCCCTTCCCAATTTGCAACCCTGTAGCGCAATAACCAATAGTGCGCTACTCTGAAAAAGCTGCCGACCACTGCCGGCTGGTACGAAGCGGGGCTTGAACCCGCGACGTGATAGTCACTTCTGCTTCGCAACGCGATGCTTTACCAAGTGAGCTATCCGGCAGCTCGCATTCCACACCTATTACTTCGCCAGCACTCTATTAAGCTGCTTTCACACCGGACGCGAAACGCGTGTATTCGCGTCTTTGCATTGACTTTGAATGTAATCTGTCGTGCTAAAAAATTCGTTTTCGGCCCAGTGTGAAAGCGCTTCCCCTAGCTGCTGCTGCGCTGCCTAGTTGCATGCTGCTGCTGTCTTGACTCTTGTCTCGTGTTCTAATCTTTTTCTCTTTGTCAGATCATATTATTGTTTTACTCTAGCCTGACCAAATGCCGTACATAATCTAACGAG